TCACGAGTCACCCAGATTAAAGAATCCCAAAAGTGAAGACTTTGATTGGCAGGGTGTTTGGGGCGAGACACTACCACTTCAACGTCTGTCAGCCTCAAAGCGGGTCGCGTCCGGAGACACCGCGCAAAAGGTGAAGATCCTAGAACCAAACCCTCGGCAAGTCCGGATGTGCGCTTTCGCAGGGAATGCAAACTCGCATGTCCCGCGGTTTGCGACTTCAATGGCAACAGCTTTTGCGCTTTTGCTGGTTGAGCAACTGAGCAGGCAGTGCGTGGTTTTGCGGTTGTGGTAAGGCCTTTATAACCACCTTAGTAGAGCCAAGAATCAATGGATTTGGGGCGCTGCTCTGCAAAGAAAGCGCCTTACTACCGTTTCAAAGATCAAGATTTAGCTTTGATTTCTCCACCTGACAGCGACTTTCAAGGGGTCTCTACTAGAAAAGACACGACACGTCGCGCCAGCCTACTGTTTCTTAAGCATCCGCATGGTTTCTCTGTTCCAGTGGTCGATGTTTGTTTCCCATTTCAAGGGGTATGCGGTTCGACAACAGAGCTAAAAACATGCTGCTACACCGGCTACACCCTACCTTTTTTTTCTCCTTCGGCTTCCTTTAAAGTGCCTATGACAGCTTGCCCTCAGTCCCCCCTTTTCAGACTTTCACTTCGCATCCGAGGGGCCGCGGGTCCAGCCTGCAGATCTTACTTTGCCACGTGCTGGGAGACGTCATCAGCCCCCCCATCATAGGGGCCATCGCGGACGTCCGCGGAATCCCGACTCGATGGGTGGGGGGGGGGGGGTTGATATGCTTCTGCTTCGGAAGTGTTTTGTTCAGGGAATTTGGAAAGACTCGGCTGCATGTTCATGTTGCGGCATGCTGTTCTCCATGACCGGTCGCAGTCCCCGGCATTGGGCCACAAACATATGGGCCAAACTTTGCTTCGCGAAGGTTGGTCCAAGGTAAGCTTCGGAATGAGGAGGACCTTGGTCAGGAGCAAAATCCCAATGGACTTCCCACTAACCCGGGCTCCGTTGGTTCCATGGATTTCGGGGCCACCGTGGGGGTGGGTGGGTGGGTGGGTGGGTGGGTGGGTGGGTGGGTGGGTGGGTGGGTGGGTGGGTGGGTGGGTGGGTGGGTGGGTGGGTGGGTGGGTGGGTGGGTGGGGGGGGGGAATTGAGTCTAAGAGGGACAGGGTGCCATCCAAGCCGATGTTTTTGTTTCCCTGAGGAAAGCAAGCACGACAGTTGGTGCACATGTAAGTCCAGATTAGCTCTAAACACAGACGTTCACATTCTTGTGAGAGACAAGGCTTGCAATCTTTGAGATGCCTCAAAGACCTCATGGTTAGCCTTACTTGTCATATCGACCGGACAGTGGACAACGTCGAAAACAAGTTCATGAGGGTAGACTGAGCTCACTACGGCCCTTCCTTGGAAGTTTTGAGGTCCAGTTTTGGCAACTATTGCCATTCGGCTGAGGGGATCCCCAAGAAGCTCGGAATTTGCTTCATTGGTGTTAAGGCATGTCTTGTATCTTGTTTGGAGTTGGCACCCTCGTTTTTGTGGCGTATATAAAGGGGAACCAAAAGTAAAACCGGGGGTTCCCCATATGTCTTGTAGCCTTTTGGGCCTTGCACAACTGAAGATAACCCTGTATGCGGCGTCAGCGAGAAACAAAGGTTTGGACTCGTTTTGTGACCAAACCAGGGAGTTGTGAGGTTTGTAGGGGGAACCACTTGCGCTATACTCATGTTTTTTGTTGTTGTACTATGCAGGTTGCAGGGCTCCCACTCAACACATAGGATTCCGACACCTCCGAGACCAGGGGGAGGGGGGGTGCTGGCTGGGATTGGATCCTATCATCGGAAGCAGCCACAAAGATGGGTCCAGCCCCAAAGAAAAACCGGGTTCCAGTGGTTTACTGGGATGTGCAGCCACTACATAGCCACTATGAAGGGTATATACCTTGTTTTCCCATGGGGTAGTTGTGTTCTATACTGATTCAGAGCCACAAGGAAAAGCCATTAATCGTTGAGGACCATGGGCAATTTTCACTTCCCATGGCTTCCCGCGCTTCCTTGAACCAGTAATTAAAGTCTTGGGGATGGAAAGCACCTTGGAGACCCCTGGCAACTCGGCCATCGTTTGGCCCGAGGACTGAGGACGGGCTTGCAGCTGTGCTGGGTCGCAGCCGCCCAGTCAAGTGGCACCCATTTTCCCCTTGCTGCTTTTTTGTTGGTGGGTTTTCCTTTGGACATGGGATTCTGCTGAGTGTTTGCTCTTCCTTTTGGGCGGGCTTTGGCCTGGAAAATGGGTTGGGCGTGTGTGAGTGTGTGTGTGTGTGGTGTGTGGTTGTGTGGTGGTGTGATTGTGTGATTGTGTGATTGCGTGATTGCGTGATTGTGTGATTGCGTGATTGCGTAATTGTGTGATTGGGTGATTGTGTGGTGTGTGGTGTGTGCGTGTGTGGTGTGTGGTTTGTGCGTGTGTGGTGTGTGCGTGTGTGGTGTGTGCGTGTGTGGCGTGTGTGTGTGTGTGTGGCGTGTGCGTGTGTGGCGTGTGCGTGTGTGGCGTGTGCGTGTGTGGCTTTTGCGTGTGTGGCGTGTGCGTGTGTGGCGTGTGCGTGTGTGGCGTGTGCGTGTGTGGCGTGTGCGTGTGTGGCGTGCTCGTGTGCGGCGTGCGGCGTGCGGCGTGCGGCGTGCGCGTGCGCGTGGGCGTGCGGGCGTGCCAGCGTGCGGGCGGGCGTGCGTGCGGGCGTGCGGGCGTGCGTGCGGGCGTGCGGGCGGGCGGGCGTGCGGGCGTGCGGGCGTGCAAGCGTGCGTGGGTGCGTGGGTGCGTGGGTGCGCGAGTGCGCGGGTGCGCGGGTGCGCGGATGCGCAGGTGCCTGGATGTGCGTGGATGTGCGTGGATGTGCGTGGATGTGCGTGGATGTGCGTGGATGTGCGTGGATGTGCGTGGATCGTGGATGTGCGTGGATCGTGGATGTGCGTGGATGTGCGTGGATGTGCGTGGATGTGCGTGGATGTGCGTGGATGTGCGTGGCAGTGGATGTGCGTGGATGTGCGTGGATGTGCGTGGATGTGCGTGGATGTGCGTGGATGTGCGTGGATGTGCGTGGATGTGCGTGGATGTGCGTGGATCGTGGATGTGCGTGGATGTGCGTTGATGTGCGTGGATGTGCGTGGATGTGCGTGGATGCGCGTGGATGCGTGTGGATGCGTGTGGATGCGTGTGGATGCGTGTGGGTGCGTGTGGGTGCGTGTGGGTGCGTGTGGGTGCGCGGGTGCGTGGGCCAGTGGGCCAGTGGGCCAGTGGGCCAGTGGGTGCGTGGGTGCGTGTGTGCGTGTGTGCGTGCGTGCGTGCGTGCGTGCGTGCGTGTGTGCGTGTGTGCGTGTGTGTGGGTGTGTGTGTGTGTGTGTGTGTGTTTGTGTGTTTGTGTGTTTGTGTGTTTGTGTGTTTGTGTGTTTGTGTGCGTGTGCGTGTGCGTGTGCGTGTGCGTGTGCGTGTGCGTGTGCGTGTGCGTGTGCGTGTGCGTGTGCGTGTGCGTGTGCGTGTGTGCGTGTGCGTGTGCGTGTGCGTGTGCGTGTGTGTGTGTGTGTGTGTGTGTGTGTGTGTGTGTGTGTGTGTGTGTGTGTGTGTTGTGTTTTTGTGTTTGTGTGTGTGTGTTTTTGTGTTTGTGTGTTTTTTTTTTGTGTTTGTGTGTGTGTGTTTTTGTGTTTGTGTGTGTGTTTTTTGTGTTTGTGTGTGTGTTTTTGTGTTTGTGTGTGTTTGTTTGTGTTTGCGTGTGTTTTTATGTTTGTTTGTGTGTGCGTGTGCGTGTGCGTGCGCGTGCGCGTGCGCGTGCGCGTGCGCGTGTGCGTGTGCGTGTGCGTGTGCGTGTGTGTGTGTGTGTGTGTGTGTCCGTATTTGCGTGCGTGGTCTCTTCCTTTTTGGTAAGAGTTCCCCTAATATGGCTAAAGTGGATGGCACGGTTTCCCCAAGCCCCTTATGTGGGCTAGATGGGCCGTGTTCCTTTTGAGGGGACCCCCTAAAATGGTTGAGCGATTGTCTAGGTGGCACGGTCATGGGAAGAGAGATTATTTCTGCTGTTGTTTCAACTTGACGATGTCCTGCCGCCTTAGCACAACTGTTTGAGGGCACCCCAGCAAAAAGGGCTTGCCCAGCATGCCATGTGGGCAACAATAGGGGGAAGCTACCCCTGCACGGCAGGGTAATTGTTCACCGGAATCGCCATTGAAGTGATATTCAGTAGTCATGGTTGGATGGACACCAACCACTTGGGTTTGTGTGTGTGTGTGTTTTTTTTTTTCAGGGTACCGTTTTTATCATGGACCGGACAGCACCATTTTGGAGTCCCCTATTGTAACACATCCCCACTTTGGAATGATGGAAGGGCCATCTTGCGCAGCCGTGGCAAAACAAATCGGGTGGCGCTTTCCGGTTTACCAACCCCTTTCGCGCTTTAGACAGCTCAAACATCAGCTTTTGCCAAGCTTAGCCTTGGCTTGGTGAAGGGTTTTGGAATCCAGCGGCTTGATTTCGTGGGGCTTCGCAACATGGGCGTTCAGGTCCTGGTTGCTGGTTTCATGTGGGGCTGCGGCTACAAGTGCCTCACAGCGCCACCCATCTCTATCAAGCCCAAGCCCCAGGCGGATTCGGATTCGGAGTCGACATGTCATCCATCTTGAGCTGAAAATAATCGCAAGATGCGAGCCAGGTTCTCAATTTTAGGTTGATGATCTGTGGACATAGCATGAGAGCCCGTGGTTGCCGATACCTTTACAATCGCTCCCCTTTTGGCACCCAAAAGGGGTGGCAGTGGGCTGTGAAATGTGAGGAACCTGCTTTCTTGCAGAGGCGCAGGGGGAATGAACTGGCAGCTGCATTCATGATTTGGCAAACGTCCGATGCTTGTTTGCTATTTTTGCGCATGGGTTGAAACCAACTCAGCAGTGTTTGGTGCCTAAAGCAAATCCCAGCTACAGCTTGTCAGTGAAGGTCAAACCGGCCAATTCGAACATCATTGTACCAGCTGATTTGGAAGCTCCCCTTGCAACGCAGTTGCTTTTTGAATTTATCAAAATGTAGGCGTTGATAGGTGGTTTGGCTTGGTTGTTTTGGGGATGTCAACCGCTTGCACGTGTGAAGGGAAACAACCCAGGAACAACGCCAAACCGCCAATCCAAACCACTGTTTCAAGGGAAGCTGACTTGGTTGCGTGTTAACATAGGGATCCCTTTAATATTTCAGCCCAATCCCGACTTACTTGTTTGGTACCCTCCGTTTTTGTTGCTTGACACGCACTTGTTTTTTTCTTCTTTTTCGCGTCGTTTGCCAGGATAGCGGGACCATCGGGTACATTTTGTCCCGAGGGAAGACCTGGCTGGACGCGTGCTACGGCGAGGAGAGCGCCACTCGCCTCAGTGACTCAGACCCTGGGAGACCAGCTGCTCACGGTGCTGAAGCCACGTCTTTGGTGCGTTTGGTGCGCGTGGCTTAGAGGCTCGGTACCTTTTGGGGTTGGCTTCGCCTGAAACCAAAAGCACAACCACCATAAATGCGGGTCCCCTTGTTTTGACACCCGCAGGCAAGTAAGAAAGCACCAGGCTCAAGCTTTTTGCTGTTCATGTCGTTCACGTTGTCGAGGTTGCTGCGAGACCCAAAGATAGCACATTGGAAAATGGTTGCCTACTTTGGCTGCCCTTCCAGGGACGACATCGTACCCCTTGCTTTAAGGTCTTTGAGGTACCCTGGCCCTGTTTGCACTGATTTGGAGCCATAGGCCATAGCAATAGCGACTATGAGTGCCATGAGTGGCAATGGAAGGCCATTAAAGGCAATGCCGCCACGACCTTCCTAATCCTTCCCTGGCTATGGCTCTGAATCGGTCTTGGGTCCTCCCCCCAGTTTGCGGCAAGGGGTGTTGAGCGGAGAGGGGTGGTGAAGTCCGCTGAAAATGAAAGGGAGAAGGCTCCTCTTCTGCGGAGGCTCTTTCTTTCCCAGGAGATTCCATGTGGTTTTCAGGAGACACAGCGCCATGTTTTACAACTGTGCCTAGTCCAGCAAACCGTCAAGAAGGAGACTCAAGGCTTTGCGGCTTGTCCAAACTTGAGGACCATCTCGCAACAAACGCTGACAATGGAAACTGCAAACTGCTAGTGGGGCAAACCAAAGATCCGACGTTGTTTTGCTTTTTGCTTTTTGATTTTGCGGGCATTGAAGAACACTTCAATTGATCCGTTGGTGTTCTTACACACTTGTGGAACCACACGCAGCCCGTCCCGGTTCACCAAGACAGCGTCTCATGTTTTGGGATTTGTGAATATTGATGGTGTACCGGCCGATGTGACTCTCCAGAAAGTTCCTTCCTTTTGGGAAAGGTCACCTGGATCAAGGAAAGATTCAAACAACCTAGTCCCTGAATATCAGTGGGCACCTTTTTCGTTGCCTTGCTGAGTCAAGACCCTCTGGAGGCAACGGCAGAAAGTGAGAGAGAGTTGCGATGCTCATGAGGGAAGTGTAGGGCACTCTTCGGCTCAACCTTCGGCTTTGGGGCCTCTGCTTTGCCAACTTGAGGCCAAGTCGGAGAATTCGAGCTGACCGCTGCGAGGTAAAAAAAAGCCAATGCGCAGTCAGGCACAGGAAGGGCCCGTGCCAAAACTAGTTGGAATCCTTTGGAGTTTTTTTCAATATGGACCCCTTTTTGGTTGAAGGTTTAACTGAGAAAGGAAATTAATTATGGAGGATGTTTATTTTGGGAAACCTCCATTTAGTCCAGGCGGTCCTTTTGGACTACCCTGTGGACTACAAGTCTAGCATGGACGGAGGTATGCCTCCTAATGACATCAGACCGCATGGCCTGTGGGAGCGATTCAGCAATTCCACATTTTGCCCATCTCAACTCAAACCTGCGTAAAAATGAAGGGTCCGACCAAAGTTGCGGATATGTGCCCCTTTAATCTTTAATTCTTTGCGTGATTTTGAGTAGACCCGTTTACCTGGTTTTGATGCTAGGGTCTGACAGTCAGGTCACGAACCTGGGACCTGGCAATCGCTGAAACCGAATGAGCCCAGGGGGGTTCTCTTCAAAAACTTGTTCTCCATTGGAAAACTTCACTCAATATTCACCAGACCAGCATTTGTTTTCGCTCAGTGGGGGAAAATGGGGTTCCTCTTAAACGGGCAGCCTCAATGATGTGACGTCACACCCCCACTGCCGTGCCCCTTTTGCTTGTCCGATGTTTCTCCACGTAGTCACTGGTCAAGGGTTCCAAAAGGATGAGATTACAAGTCGCATCATGGAAGCGCACAGGCCCTTTAGGCCCTAGTCCTTCAGCAGGGGGACTGTGTACCCACATTTCCCCCTGAAACCTTTTGGGGGTTTAACTCCTCACCCGTACAATTTCCAGTTTGACTCTATGTAGTTGGACCACCGCCTACAGCCGCCCGTGGGACGAACTCCATTTTTTGTGTATTTTTTGCGGTCGATTTGACAGCAGCCTGCCAATGGGATTTGGGAAACGAAAGGAATTCCCCACTGGCTCAGCGCATTCAGTGCCTCTTCTTTCCGGCTTGGAAAGGTTGCCCCAAAGCTTAAAATCTCACGATATTACACGGGCAACTACGGGCGGTGTACCTGGTTATGTAGTAATCCAAACGGTAAGCCTTTACTTGGGTGTGTCTTTTTAGCAGAATGGTGGTGTTGGTCTTTGTTATAGTTTGAACACAACCGCACCACACACCGCACACCGCACACCACACACCACACACCACACCCCACACACCACCACACACACACCACACAACGCAAGCACGCACGCACGCGCAGTTCCCGTGTTTGGGGGTGAGTTGCCGGAGGGCAACCAAGACATGCCCCTGGCACCTTAGTGGCAAACCGATGTACTGCTCGATGTCCGTTGTGGGAGGCGGGCGTTCCTTGCTCCCCGAGTCCCTAGTCTACATGTTGCATGTCTTCTCTTTTTGGTGTGAGGAGTCAAGGGAGTTAGTAGCCGAGTCTCTCCCCCAGAATGTTTGGGGAAGACCAGTACAAGTGCACACGAAGCTTTGGCTTTTGCCAAGTCCACTGAGAAAGTGATTGGGACCCCCGACCTCTGAAGCCAAACCCATCCCTGCCAGAGGTTTGTGTTTGGAGCTGCGAAAATGTGAGCTTGGTTGTGAGGCAATGTCAAGGTTCCCAGACGGCTCAGGACCGTTCGCACCGCCGCACGTGAGCTCGGGCTCATGTTGGCGCCTGGGCTGCAGGTCTCTTTGAAGAGCCGATACGCGCTCGTCTCAATGCCTAGGCAAATTTCACCAATTGTTACATTTTGTTACAATTCTTTTGGCACCTTCCAGACTTCGCAACCACAAACCCTACAAGCGCCCTGAAAATGGAAAGGTGTCTTTGGTTTTCCTTCAACCCCCCCCAAACACAAACAAAGACATGCCCAGAGAAAATACCGAGCCGAGGAGCCACGGGAAAGTTAGTCTATAGTGGTCAAGCATATTTTCAACACAATACCACAATGGGACCGCCAAGGGGGGTCTGTGGCCAGCCAGGCCTACACCCATGAATCCCTGAATAAGGCCTTACTAAGGGCTCGCAACCCTGTCCCGCACGAATGTCCCTGCTCTAGTTCCGGTGAGGAGACCCTTTGGGCGAGATTCTCTGGTAGCATTCGTATTGGCCATCCAAATGTGGCATTTCAATCTATTTGGGCCTTGTGGGTAACTTGGGTTCAGTAAGGCTTGCTTGAGTGACCACTGGAGGGGGCTCCTAGGAGCATTTCTGGAGTTGGCCACCGGCTCAGGTTCCATGAGGGATGGAGATGCAAATGGGGTGTCCCCTCACACGATTGGAAGGCACCAGGTCTGGTGTTTGTTTGTTTGGCAGGTGGGTGGCTGGCCGGGCTGGGTGGCTGGCTGGGTGGCTGGCTGGGTGGCTGGCTGGTGTGTTGGTTGATTGGTTGGTTGATTGGTTTGGTTTGTTTTGGTGCGGTTTGGAATCGGCTTGGCTTGGCTTGGCTTGGCTTGGCTTGGCTTGGCTTAACTAATTGGTTGGTTGTTTCGTTTGGTTGTACGATTATGTACTTGAATTTGTTATTGGTTGTTTTGTTGTTTTGTTGTGTGTTTGTTTGATTCGTTGGTTGTTGGGCTGCTTGGTTCTGTGCTTGTTTCGTTGGGTGGTTCACGCAAGAAAGACTCTCTTTTGCCAGCATCTTGGGTTGGTTCTCTGTGGCCCGTCCAAGGTGGTGATTCTGCTGCTGTCCTTCGATGTGCTGAATCCTGTGAAGGCCTCGCAGACCGTTGGGTTTTACTTTTCTGTGCTGTTCAAAGGCAATCCGCAAGATCTTTATCCTGGGTGACAAAAGGGGGCCCACTTTCTGTAGGGACGGATGGGGATGGACCAACACTCCATTTTGAAAAGCCCAGCTTTCTGTAAGTGGCCAAAAAACACCCTAAGTGGTAAACTTGTCAGACCACCACAGGAGGTGATTTTTCATGAGAGCATCCACTCGGGGGCAGATTGTCGTATGTGGCCGGAGGCTTAGCTGGTTCTGGACCTCTAGTTTAACGTCCCCAGTGACAACATGTAGCCGGATTCCTTTTCTGTTGTTCACATGAATAAATGGGCAATGGATTCAGTTCCAATAGGTGGCTGTGTCTCTTTAAGGTGCAGGCAGAAATGGCTTCGTGTTGCCAGGAATTCCATTGGCAACCTTGCATGTTTTTTTTTGGGGGGGGGTAGGGGTTATGTAGAGTCATGTAGAGCAACTCATCGTCTTCTCCACAAGGTTCCGCGCTCAGAATGACCAAACCTGTGAAGAAATTGAGATAGGTCTTTTTCTTACATCCGCAAGTGGACTGGTGTACCACTTTTTGAGGAGACAATTTTAGTGGCAAAATGGTTTTGCTATTATTTTCGGTTGATCATTGTTTCCCTGCGATCGGGATTTCGGAGCAACCCTGTTTCGGGGACAGGCAAAGGGCTCGAATAGGCTCGCCCGCACTGAAATCCATAGACAGCCGCGAGTCTGAACTGTGAAATGAAGGTAGTGCTGCGCCCCAGGCATTTCGGTTTGGAGGGTCCCGCTTCCTCTCGCCGTGCCTCGGCCGAGAACGAGTCGATCAGCCAGCGGCAGGTGCTTTGCAGCTACACCCGGGTCTACTTGGGCATCTCCGAGGCGGTCCGAAACGCCGGAGCCAGGTCCAGCAGGAGCAGACCCAACAGACAGTGGGGCGGGGATTCTATGTTTTTCTGGTCTGGTGCGATAGGCAGGCAAGGGCACATGACCCCGAGTTTTGTCCATCCCCTATGGTTTCGAAAAGTCCGCAGGTTCATTCCCTCATTCCCTGCAGCGCACCAGCAAGAATTGTTCATTGAGCAAAAGTGGCAAAAGAGAGCATGATGGAAGCCGCATTGGCCCGAATCATGGAATTGCAACGGCGCATTCGACTCTGGAAATCTGCTCGGCTGGGAAGCCATGGAACAAGCTGAAACAAGGAAAGCCAAGAACAAGCACACACGCTATGAGTTTCTTTCCTGCAGGTCCTGACGTCGCTCACATAATTATGTTTGTCATTTTGTTTGTCGTCGTTGTTTTTTTTTTGTGACAAACGAGGAGAAACCAAAGACACAAACAAGAGGAGCAAAAGGACAGCAGCTGCCAGGTGCACCTGGGCTTAGTCGCTGCCTTACTGCTGCTCGCACTGGGCCTGAACCAGCGCGATCACATTCTCTACACCTGTGCCAGGACGCGGGCGAGAGCTTCCTGAGATGGACATGACATGGTTGTCGTGAGGAAGCATTTTACATTTTGCTTATTGTGGTTTAGTGGGAAATCCCCTCTGAACTGCTAAAGTGTTCTTTTGCTCCGCTTCCAACGTCAACCAAGATGAGTGGAAGGTACCTTTTTTAATGGTTGGCTGGCATTGTGTTAGGGAAAACCTTGAAAGGAAAGCTACAAACTGCTGCAGTCCGCTATTTTGGCACATGCCCAAATCTGAGCGTATGAGCCTTCTGACTGGGGACCCCTTTTTATGAAACCGCAAGGGTTGACCGTTCCATTTACCGGCAGCATGAAACCAATCAGTGCCTTTGACATGTCTGCCTATATGGCAAGCTCACTAATCCAGGGTAAAACGAGCTCAACCTTGTTCGGGGTTGTTGGAATCGTCAAATTTGCAGATAAATGCAGAGACCTTACCGGGGTATTGGATGTAGTTGTACTCTACCGTATCGTTGTCGTTCACTGTGGTATCTTTGATGCCTTCCTCCAAGTACACGTGCCAGTAAAATCAATCAATCCCTTGTTAATGTACTGGTCGCATTGCTGGCAGACTGCGCCAGGACATTCTTCAGGTGTACTTTTAACAATATCTTCTTCAGCTCGGTGGAGATCGTCGGGTTGGAGAACTTGCCCAAGGAGACGCCAACAATCCCAACCCGCCCCCCAAGTAAGCAGAAGTGGCCGTCAAAGGGCCTGTGGTTTTGACAAGGAACGCCTCGATTTAAACAAAAGCGAAATAGGCTCCGCAAGAATGATTAATTACTCACTTCCTGAGTTCATGAACTTAAACTTTTTGGAAGACCATTTTAG